AAAGTTCATATAACAAAGTAAACCCCAGGAATCTAACAATTTAATCTTTGCAGTTTTAATTCTTCTGATTCCACACAATCTGGTAATTTGTTACATTGCTAATGTGAAACATTAATTGTACCCAATGTGACATTTGTGTGTAAGGAAGCACATTACATGAAGGTAAGACAGGTTGATCTCTCAGCATGCTCCCAGCTTCAAAACATAGCCTTATTGTTCTGGCTTCTTAGTCACCCTTGTAGAATGGCTCATAAAGTAATAGCCACTTTGAGCTTTTAAATTGAAAACTAACATTAAAAAAAAAAACAACTGCAAGTGCTTATGATGGAAATGAAGAGAAATTAAAAGGCTTAAGAATGTATTAATCTTGATGTGGCTACAAATTATACAAGAAACTATATATTCTAGTACAATGTTTACCAAATGGTATTCCATGAATAATTTAAAAAAAAATAGGGGAGGGGATTCCATTTCAAATAAATTTGGGAGGCAAAGTTTTAAACAAAGTTTCACATCTTCCCTGGTCACATGGCGTACAGGGCCCCATATAAGATCTGGCTTGTGTCTGAACTCATCTCCTGTCGCTTCCCCTTTCCATGATCCTGCAAGCCCCAGCCTTCTTTCTGTTCCTGAACACACAAAGCTTTCCTGGTCTCCAGACTTTGCACTTGTGTGTCGCTTTCCACACATGCTCACATTGCTGGCTCCTTCTGGTGATTCAGGCTCAGCTCCAATACCGCCTTCTCGGAGAGGCCTGGCTGTGCATTCTGTCTTTTTCACGCTGTCTTCATAACTCCTCTAACTGCAACGCTCTTGTTTACTCGTCTGTTTACTTGTTTATCGTCTGTTTCCACCACAGCCCCCCAGACTCTATGGACATGAGAGCAGAGCTTAGTCATTCTTTCTCACCACAGGTCCTCCTGGAGCAATGCCAGTCACAGACCGAGTTCTCTGTAAATCTTTACTCCGAGTGCATTATGAGACTCTAACAGGGGTTGTGGAGCATTCACATTTTCCCAACTTACCAGGGAACTGTTTTCTGAAAGAATGCCAAGATGTGAATCATATTTCAATAGGAACACAGTTTTAGAAAGAAAGCTTTAAGGTATTTTCAAATTCATAGGTTTCCTGTGACCCTGAGAAATGTCAGAAATCAACATACACGTGTGACAGGCATTGGGTGAGGAGAGGCATTGTTTGTCTCTGTTGCCTCATACTGACCCAGGTGAAAAGCCAGGCCTGCATCCAGGCTAAAGGAGAAGCAGCTTCCTTACCACAGTGGCACCCAGTTAAACATCAGATAAAAAGAAAGAAGCTGTCCCTTCACTGTTGGAGAAACTAGATGAGTGATTATAAAAAAAGAACTATATCATATGAAAAATACCTTTTATTTCATTATAAATGAAGGTAGTTTATTATTTTTAATATTATAAACTATATCCCTCAAAATAATTTTTAAAAAATACTTAAAGAAGCCAAGCAGTCTGGTAATTGCATGTGTTTGATTTATTTTTTTTGCTATTTTTTTTTCAGAATATTACAGGGGTACAGATATTTTGGTTACATGGATTGCTTTTGTACTGCTTGAGTCACAGTTGTAAGCGTGCCCATCACCCAGATAGTGTACATTGTACCTGTTGGATATGATTTCACCATTCCCCTCTGCCCCCTCCCATCTGCATGATTTCCGTTGAGTTTTATTTCCAGCTGTGCACATGAATACTGATTGGTTAGTTCCAGTTTAATAGTGAGTACATTCAGTGTTTGTTTTTCCATTCTTGTGACACTAATGGCTTTTATTTTTAAGTTTCTCAGCATTTATCTCTAAAAGATAATGTAGACATGCTATTTGAAAATGCTTAAATGTCCAAAACAGAACTCTTAATTTCTACCTCCTAAAACCTTCCTGTCCTCCATTTGTTCTCATTCAATAAAATGACACTACAATTTCCTGAGGTGTTTTGGGGCTGAGGTCCCTATAAAAATACAATAATTGATGATTAAAAAAATGTTCCAGAATATCAAACTGAAAAGAAAAAAAAAACTAAAATGAAACAATATCTCCTATTTGGCACTAAAAGAAATCCTCTCGTCTATACATCATGTCTGGCATCTAGTCCTTTAAGTTAAATTCACATATCCCTCTCCTTTCTGACTTCTCAATTCTCTATTTTCTCAGTAACTTGGATTTGACACACTAAAGAAATGTTGAGCTTTTCCTCTTTTGTTTCTTATATCCAATGAGTTACTTTGTCAAGTCAATTCTTTCATAACAGTGCAGTTACTGTTCAATAAAAGGATCTTTCGATTCTCACTGTTAAATATAAAAGAGCAAAAAGTCTCCACTTGATAAATCTTCAGTTTCATCTTTTTCCTCTGACTTTATAAATAAAACTTTTCACATGTAAAATACGTGTTTTGTTGGTGTTTATAGTGCTGTTGAACCTCAAATTGTCCCTCAAATTTCTAATATTAATCCTTCTCGTACTTTAGCCAAAACATAGAATATGTAGATTGTCAGAAAGCACTGAACAACTAATAATAAAATATGTGAATTTAAGGTCTTTAAATGTTTTTTCTTTTCTTTTTTTTTAAACTAATGGTGATGCAGTCTTCTTTCAGTAAAAGCCTGATGAGCAAAACACTTCACAGATATTCTCATTCTTCCTAATATCTTTTCAGCAAGATCTTTTCTCATTCCTCATAGAAATAAAACCCTCTGCCAAATTTTCTTCTCTCTGATTTCCACATTTGACTTGCTCATTCCCGACTCCCCATCTTAGCTAGAAAGACGTATCTTCTCTTTTCCGGTAAGTATGCACACTTACTGCATTCATAATAAATCATTCTCAAAATTTGCCTCAAACCAGAGTACTCGAGGACATCACATATTCCTTTCTGCTAGTTACATAGCAGTAAGATTAGGTTGGCATCACCAAATTTACCTTTGTTAGCGTGTTGCTTTCTGAATGTTCTCAATAATGTACATTCTTTTGCCAAGTAGATTGTAAGATGCAGGGCATGAATCTGTTTTTATAAGCCCTTCTCAAAATGCTTGGGATAGTAAGAGTTCATAATGCAAGCTTAATAAGTGTTATCTTTGAAAAGCAAAATTCTAAAATGAAAAATGCACTCATCTTTAAAGCCAAAATAGAGGACAAATAGCTAATTTATAATGTCTTACTGATTCGCTAGAATTTTCTCTTTCGTCTGGCAAATGGAGTACATTGCCAATAAGATTGTATCAGATACTTTTAATAAAGTGAGATGCTAAAATTACATGAATGGGATGATTAAATTGGCACTTTGTGATTTTTAATCTCACAAAGGGTTTATTAAGTATAGCTAGATACCTATTAAACAACCTTCTTTTTAATAGCTACATGTGAGGCTTGAAATTAGATTGAAAGTACTTACTCATTTTCTGCCAAGCTTTCTTGTTTGTTTGGATGAATTTTGAATTTTCACAGCAATATCAGCTCAGGTCAGTCAGAACTTTGGATTGGTGGTGAATTCTTTTACCTATGATTAAATTGACTAAGAACCAGGGAATGATATCTGAAGAAGAAGACAACCGTAGAGTAGTACATTTATATAAACATTTACATACTAGTTGATGCATTCTAATCTGGAAAATATTTTTGGTTGAATCCTTCGCTCATTTCTATTTTGTGGCATACGGGATTATGCCTTTGTCAATGCTGTCTCCTTTGTCTAAATTGCCCGAATCTCATCATTCTAAATCTAATTACTCCTCAAGTAGATGTGATCTGTCCTCTGAAAGCCTAAACACCTCATATGTCGTGTTAAGATATTGTTGTCCTTAACCTTCTGTTTATTTATTTGCATGCATAATGTCTTAAATTATGAGATTTTTGAGGTTGGGATTTATATTCTTTATTATTCTATTTCTTGTTAACACCTATCACGGTGTCTGATAACTAATAGATGCTCAGAAATCATTTGAATGAATGAATAAATAAATAAATCTCAATTCGAATAGCCCAAAGTCAAGTCAAGTTCAACAGTCAATATTACATTCCAATCATCATACACCAGATATCTGGGAGTCAGCTGGATCCTCTCTCTTCTTCAGCTCCCATGGCCAGTCCTTCAGGAGTTCCTCTCCCTGTCCCTTCTTAGTAGCTTTCTAATCTCTCCGTGACACTGCAACAGCACTGCCTCATCATCCAGGCTCAGACCCTCCCCAACTTCTCCTGTAATTCTTCCTCCACTCTGCACCAGATGTGATCATAGAATTGCCCATTTAGATCCTTCGACGTCTTCTTAAACATAACACAGCTGATGAAAGTCTTGTAAAATCTGGCCTCTTCCTTTTCACTAACCTTCTCTGCTACTTCTCTCCACCCGGCTCTCTAGATTGCATTCACAATGACCTTCACCCAGTTCCTGGAAATGCCCATGTTTCTTCTGCAAGGACCTTTGTATATATACCCCTCTGCATGGAACATACTTTAATCCTAAGTATTTTCTCCTTATCCTTCAGGGCTTGCCTGAAACTTCAGTTTGTCAAGGAAGACTCCCTGAACCCTCCAAACCTTTATCTGACTGTGTCCTGAAATTATCCTTTGCAACACTTCTATATAATTGATTTATTTAGCATGTTATTTTTTATTTCTAGAGCTTCCTTTTCCAAAATATGAGTTCTATAAGATATTGGTCAGTATTTATTTTATTCACTGCTCTATGTACCCATCTCATGGCCCAAGACTTTATATTTTTGAGTGATAAATAAATATTTTTGAAGAAATAAGTGAATAAAAAGAGATTCTGGATGCATAAAAGGAAATAGAAGTGGAAAATAAGGTGATAGTAGTTTGGAGGGTAATAATAAATTCTCATGCCGGTGTGACCTGCCGTTGCCTTCATTCAGAGTCCATTGATTGGAATTCTTCTTCAAAGGTAGTTTTACCATGTACTTCACGTACAACCTTCCCTATTGGAAGATCTTCTTATATTGTCTCTTTCTGCTTTGGCAGTTGATGGTCAGTGGCAGGAGTGGAGTTCGTGGAGCCAATGCTCAGTGACGTGCTCCAATGGGACCCAACAGAGAAGCCGACAGTGCACCGCGGCTGCTCATGGGGGTTCCGAATGCAGAGGACCCTGGGCAGAAAGCAGAGAGTGCTATAACCCCGAGTGTACAGGTAAGGCCTGATTCCTGCATATCAATGGCACCCACCACTTATAAAATGTGACAGAAACATGCCAGGCGGTCATGGAATAATACGATAATAATTACGTACTTCTTAGAGATGAAGCCAATTATACCAGAGCTTATTCTGCTGTATGCCATGCTAATAAAGTAATAAAATTTAGGAGATTCTGAGATTAAATAACAATATAGTTGATGAAGTTTAGCACTAAACTCTGAACTAGCATTTTTTACGAGGAAGGTTTAATGTCCATTTAAAGACTCTGGCATGCTTATATAAACTTGGGTTAATCACAGTGCTCTATATTTGACCAGTAAGTTAAATATTTGAGTAAAGTTTATTCATAGTGGTAGATTAATAAAAATTGAAGGGACAGTAGAGCCCTCAGATTTTGAAATTCCTAAAGCAGTATGCAGGAGACTACTGCTATTGACTATGCCACATTTCTTTCAGCCAATGGTCAGTGGAATCAGTGGGGTCATTGGAGTGGTTGTTCCAAGTCCTGTGATGGTGGCTGGGAAAGGAGAATGAGGACGTGTCAGGGTGCAGCGATAACAGGGCAGCAATGCGAAGGAACAGGCGAAGAAGTGAGGAGATGCAGCGAGCAGCGATGCCCTGGTGAGAATGAAGTGGAATTATCCCAATGGAAATATTTTATAACCTGAAAAAAAAAAAAGATTTCAAAATATTATCATTAATTAAGGGCAGTACTTCCTCAAAGAAGGATTGCTAATGATAGGTGGGAATTTACTTGTTTCTATAACATATGGGGCATTCTCTGTTTATGTGTCATAGAATAGTCCTATAGGTTTTTAAGTTTTTTGTTGCAAAATGGGATTGAAAAATATGATAATACTGAGGTAGCCTTACCGAAGAGTACAAGACTGGATATAGTTTAAATGAATGAAGGGTACAGTTTTTTTCAATATTTCATGAAATGTTTGTTTACTGAGAATACAGAACAAGTCATCTTAGATTATACATAATATATACTAGAAATATAAAGATGTAAGTGTTAGATAGCTAAGTGAGACGATAAAGACGTGGTGTTAACAATCACGCGCTTTTAAGTTCTGTTGCTAATTATTCTCACCTTGATGGTTGATCTTGGGTATCTTCATTTACTTGCCCTTGCCCCATTTTTCAATTTAAAAATTAAACTCCTATGAGGAACACATTTTTAAATGAAATCATAAGGTCTTATTTACTAGTGAAAGAATGGAAGTGCTGCTACATTAGAAAATTTTATATATAAGCATGGAAAAGAATGAAAAGTCAGAAATTGCCCAAATTATAGAAAGCATATTCTAAGAGATTGTGTAGAACAAAGATCCTTCCTAATCATGTGTGCATTCCATAAGATATTATTGACACACTGAGGATGTAATAAATAAGTGAAAATCAGGATTTTAGAATGATAAGACAAAAATAAGCATACTAAAGAGGTGATAGGATAGAATTTCAAAACTTCACCATATAATATAGAGGAAAGTGCTGAACTTAAAGAATTGGAA